TTTTTGAGAAAATTAAAGGATTTAAGTGCGCCTTGTAATACAATCTTCAAACAGACAAGTGAACACAAACATGTGAATCATATGCATTAACAGATTGTTAGAAAAGCGACATTAAAAACCAAAGAGCTATTCTCTCGTGACCTTAAATGGGACTTAGCCACCTTAATGCATGTGTCATTAGCTTGTAGACCACCGTTAGTAGCAGTAACTTGAAGCTTCTAACACCATTGCCGGGGAATTTCAGACCACTGTTCTTTACAATGTTGCTTCAGTTCATTGAGTATGTGGGTATTCTTTCATGCAAAGCTTTGATTCTTGTAGATTTGATGTGGATGGCATGCCTGGGATTATCGTCATGTTTTTTGGCCCAGCTTTAGCTGGCTTCACATTAAGAATACTTTGGTATACAGAGGTTTCAGTAACGGGATTGTGCCAATGTCCCGTTCTTCAAATCAAGGCAAAATCATCGTCATTGTGCTTGACTGTTGGTTTGAGGTGTTTTGGTTAATATGTGGTTTGCTTTTGCCCGACTGATATAGGAAGACTGATGCCAATAAATTCAAACTTTAAAAGCCAATATTCTAAATTAGAATACTGATTGATTTAGATATGCACAACATGAAAATATTTCTCTAACGTAGTTATTTATTTACTTGTTTACGCTTTGCCTGACTGATGAGCAGGTTGTTACGTTTGTAGCGTTCCACACGTGTTACCAAGAAGGAAGTTGCAGAGTGCCCTCTAGTGGACAAAGAATGCAACTTAGGATGTCACAAGTTGAACGGTATTTCTCGCAATCTCTTCTTTACATTTTAAGACGTACATTATTAGCAGTTACATATATTGATGCTGATAGATGGCAAATAGATAATTTTAGGATCCACTACGTACCCGCTGGTTTTTATATTTTTAATGCTGTCTGAATGAGCACGTACTTTCTTTTCCCCATGACTGTATCGCAACTATGAATTACAAGCTTCACCCCCCCTCACCTTTCCGTGCCTTTTTCCATTTTGTTTTACACCCCACTTGCCTTGCTTTAAGCCTTGCCTTAATTACCTTGAGGCAGCTGTTGTGATTTCGCACCATATAAATAAAATTGAATTGAATTGCCTCCCTCAGCCTCTCAGTTGATGTGAGAAGCACATTGTCACTGTGTCCAAACAAACTTTTACACGAGTTTACACAAGCGCAATCAAACAAAACAGACGAGTGCATTTTGGAACTGGCCTTTGTTCATGCAGAAATGTTGGCAGAGATCACTTAGACTTGGACACAGCTTCAGCTCTTCTTTCTCTGTCCTCACTCCCTCCCCCTCTCCAGCCTGAAAACTAAATGAACCAGTCATATTATGACAAGCATTAAACCATGAGATTTGCTTGAAATAGTGTTAGGAAGTGCAATAAAAACAAAGCTGAGGGTTCAGCGAGGACAACGTGACTTCTGTGCTATTCTTAAACCACTTTATTTATGCATTTACTGGAAGCTCATGCATTTATAAGGCCAGGACACAACGCTTGTCTAGACTCCCATTCATGCGCCATCTACAGTAGCCTACATTTGATAAAAATGCAGTGCAGTTAAGGTCAGTAGAACAAAAGTCTGAAGTCTAGTCGAGTCTATGGAGTTTAATATTTCACAGTTTAAGCTTTGTGATTGCATCTTGTGGTTTAGCACGCTCAGAGAGAGATAAGCACCTGCCAAACTAGTCAAAACCACCTTGTGGTAGTCTCTTGCTACAGCAGGAGTCCATGAGGACATTTGATGATGTTAGATGATGTGATATGATATCATTGACATCATATGATGTCATGCACACACAAACTAAACACAAAATAACCGCTCGAGTACTATGTATTTTCTATCTGATATTTAAACACCAATGGATACATCAGAGAGCAACACGAGGTCAGGATCTTGCCGAAGGGCATGCAGACCGGAGAAGCTAGGCACCAAACCACCACCTTTCCGATTAGTCACTGACTTACTCTACAGCCACCCCAATAATACATCTTTAGAATGACCTAATTGTGTTGTTTATGTCATTTAAGCAGTTACTACAAAGACAGAGTTCCAGTTTGCAAATGCTTTTTCGAAGCTGGAAACTATCCGGTCGTTCAGTCTGACGTCGCTAGCCGTGTCTGGGCCTAAACTCCGCTGCAGGTCCATATATCAAACGATCACTATGGCATTACTGAGAGTTAAAAACTGTCTAAAGTCTTTCATCTTTAATAAAATGATCAGCGTTCTGCTCTACCAGGTGTAACAATTGAGTTTAACATCCAGGCATCCATGAAAACGGAATTTATGACATTTAACGGAGTTAGAAGTTAGCAGGAAGTTAGCTCGCTAGCTTCCATCTAAATACAATATAGCATGTCCTGACTGCGGGGTTTTGGAAACAAATTCAAACGTACAGCTCTGTTATCACTTCCAACATAAATGAAGACAGAAAACTAAACAGCAGTGACGTTTGTAGGGTTACTGAAGTTTGGCTAGCTGGTATATAATGATGTGCTACGTGACCGCTAGCGACACAGCTATGTTAGCATAATATAAACAAGCTAACTTTTTTTCCACTCGATAAAAGTTAACGTGAGTGTTCTCGGTGGTCAGGAACAAATGTAATCGCATGGCAGGATGCTGTAAAAGGACCAAACTTCAGCCAGGAGAACAACTGAGATAATCCATCCACAATACGAGGTTAGTCATTCATATACTGCTGCATGGGCTGGGCTGTAGCTACATGCTAAGGTTTTAAAAACTGAGCTTAAATAAATGATTAGTGGTAATAAAAGCCGAGGGAGGTCAACAGTGATCACTGACTGTTTTAGGAGCTTTTTGAGATTAAATAGAAGAAAATACAAAACATTAAACATGTTAACAACACAAAAGCCATATTAAACGCAGACTACTTTAGGCCCGGAAGTAGGATTCGTCACGTCATCACTTAACGACCGGATATAAATGATTTCCCACCAACACAGCGGTCCATATACTACACATATATACTCTTTTTTATGGCCTCCCTTTAAATGAACATAGTATAGGGCTCTGTAACTAGAGGAGTGTCATGTCTGGTGCATTTCTTGTTCTTGTTTTTCTGTGTTCCCTGAAGAGCCTCTCTCTTTAACACCATGTGGGGGGCGACCTTAGTAAACAGTGCAAGAGACAAGAGGAAAGACCTACCTGTACCTAAGAGGAAAAACCTCTTAGCACAATCACAGTTTCAGATGCTAGCAGACAGGCTGGTCACACTATGCTCAGTTTTACATTTGATACTGAACAGAACTATATTGTTTGTGCAGAGCAGCGGGTCTCATGCTAATATACAGGAACTCACAAAGACATGCGTTCATTGAGTGGAAGGTACATGTGAAGGTCCTATGGACCTGTGTCGTGATAGTTATTGTCTGAACTCTCTTATCTGACATTAGAAATTAAGGTGCTGTGTTTAATAACGTTTTACTAAAGCTGAAAGGTTCTTCTAAGTGTAAATAATTACCAGCTTTCCTTTTCGTTATGACAGACTTTCCAAAGTGTTCCTTTCTGAATTGGAGTAAGCATGGCTGTTTTAAAGGTGCTGTGGTGGTTAGTACTGTTACATCATAGCAAGAAGAGCCTTGGTTCAGCTCCTGCCTGGGGCTTTTTGTGTGTGTGGAGCTTCCATGTCATGGTACTCTGGATTTCTCCCAGAGTCCAAACATATGGATGGGTCCGGTTAATTGGTGAGTGAAAGATAGGCAGCTTGTCCTGGGCGTACCCTGTCTCTTGCCCTTTAACAAGCAGAAGGATGTGGGTGGATAGCTTATTTGCTTTGAGATGAGGTTAGATGGTGTGCTTTGCTTGCCATTTATGTAAGCTAGGTAGAAAACATTATAAACTTAAATGTAATAACTGTCATCTGAGGCAAGTCTTGTTTTATTAAGCAGGACAATGTTAAACTACATTCTGCAAATATATATATATATATATATATATATATATATATTTAAAGCAAGGTTCACTAATAACAGTCTAATTTAGCTTACCTAAAGTCCAGACCTGAAAATATTTGACAAACTATAATTAGTGCTGTCAGCGTTAATCTCGTTAAAATGACGCTAACGCCATAACTGCATTAACAGCGTCAGCGCAGTTAGCTCATTAATGCGTTAGCGCCGTGCAGCCTCGCGCACGGGGCAACAGCACTGCCACTGACAGCGCTCATTATAACAGAAAGAAAAGTTTGATCCTCTCAGTCTCCCAACATGTATGACATCACCTCTCGTCTGTCTGTCCTTCTGCCCGTGTTTGTGTAACCTGTCTGCACTGTCCGTTACGTCAACTTCACCACCTCAGACTAAACACAATGCAAAGTCTCTCTCTCTCTCTCTCTCTCTCTC